CCCCAAAACCCCAAAACCCCAAAACCCCAAAACCCCTAAATCCGACCAAAGAATTGAGACTTATTAAATTTATATTTATTTGGGCTTTCATTGGTTTGAGTTTGAGTATATTGCTACAAATTTATGACTCTGCTTGGAGCTCCCACCTAGCTGTTTTGGCTCTAGAATAATAGTTAGATTACTCTGAAAGTGATATGAGCAAATATGAACAAAAATGAACAAAAATAAAGACTTCGACTTACTTTTAGGCAAACTTCCTGTTATAGGTACTTTATCTTTCCTTTTAGAGGGACTCCATTTTAGATCATGCGAGTTAACTACCGAGTGAGCCTGACCGGAAGAATTCTGGCTCTTTTGAATATATGGAAGTGAGACTTCATTGGCTATGATATGATCAAAAAATTTACTCTTTGAGGAATCAATTCGGCCGTCTCCGATCTTCATTGAAGCTGATTTCTTGTTTACAGCGGTTCTTTTAGCCTTATTGCTCTTAACACCATAAATATCATTGAACTTATCGGTCTTAGTGCTGGAATTCGTATATTGAGAGAGTTTGAATCCATTAGAACTGCTAGGGTTGCCCATAATTCTTTCTGCTTGGATAGACCTCTTGTGCTTCACTTTGTTCGTGCTCTGAGCAGATACAGAAGTAGGGTAGTCCAGCAGCACCTCTGTATTTATGTCTGAGCCGCTCATCCTAGACTCTCTCTGCATACTATTGTTGATTGATGGAGTCTTATCCTTAGGAGTAATAATTGCTAAAATTTGAGATTCTTGCTTACGTCTATCTTCGTGTTTCTTTGAGAAACTAAAATTCTTCTTAATCCTAGCTGTTGTTGTATTTATAGAGTTTGTATTTCCGCTACTGGGTCGATGAATTATGTTGTTCTGGCTCATATTGGTGAAATTCATGATTATCTGAATAATCTCATTCTTCTCTCCAATACTATTTCTGTTGAGAAGTTCAGTGCACATATGGTAAAGATCTTTAAGAGCTGACTTATTCAGGTTGATCATAGCTGCATTTTTGATGATGGAAAAGGCCTCTTTTTCTGTTTCTAGACGTAGCCGTAATTCATTTTGATAGTTTAGTTTAGACTTCCGCCATGTGTTAACAATGTTATTGACCTTTGACATGTCTTTGTAAGCATCGATGGTTAAGGTCTTTTGGAACTTATTCTCAGTTGCTGTGAGGTGGATCTTCTTCTCCCGTTCAAAGAAGGATTCAAGGACGCTATAATTGAACTCCTTGCATTTATGCAAAGCTATTCCCTTGTTTACCACCTTCTTGATAGCATTCTCGAAGTGTTTGTTGATCATAGTGAACAGCATCGTTCCTTTGAGTTGGTGCTTGTATGATTTAAATTTTCCACTCTTTGTTGGTAAGGAATTTGTCCCATCATTGCTTTCTTTTTCAATGATACTTGAGTTAAGATCTTCACTGTTCCAGCTTTCCAAGCAATCGTATATTAAAGTTTTCTTTCCAAGGGAAACATGAATATTCCTGTTTGAATTTGACTTGTCAAAGTAGACATCTCCATGGTAGATTCATAAGCTTTGCTCTAGATTTTTGCTTGCTTTAGCATCATCTATAGATTAGAATAGCACATATTACTGTTGAAGTCTTTATCTAGGTAATATGGGCTCATCAATTTCTTAAAAACTGTGGGAGCCTTCTTAGATACCACAGCTTTGTTATTCTTAGAGTTTTTGATTGATTTTCCTTTAGATTTCCCAATTTTAGATTCAGATTGAGAAACTTTTAGTTCTTTTCGGCCATAATACTTGTTTTTAACACATGTAGGCCATTCACAAAGGCTATCATTGATGGATTGTAGCTTGCTGACTTCAGAATTTTCTTCAATGTCAGTGAAATTAACATAGAATTTCCTAGTTATGACACTCTTTTTGGGCCTTTCGGTTCGAGATGTATCTAGCTTGATGGAAAGTTTGGATTCCTCTTCGAAGGGTTCCTCATATTCATCTGCTGGTTCTCCTTCTTTAGTCTCTTCATACTCAGTGAGGATATGGATTTTTGGGAATATGTTCTTGGTGCCGAATACAATGTCCTTGCTCTCCTTAATGAGGCTTAACAATCGCAAGAGCTCTTGATGAAGCATGCCTTTGTGAATATGAATCGACTTTACACCATTCTTGTGCGTGCTGTCGATATTTTCAAGTGATTTTGTGATTATCTGACTGACGTAGCCTGGAGGCAGAGTCTTTGAGTCTAAATTTGAGATTCCAAAACTACCTTTTCCTTTCTTGGACGAAGATATGTTTGATAAATGGGCTGTCCGTACAAGGCGGTTTATGATCATATGATAGATATGCATGAGAAAGGACCTGTAACAGAAGTAGCCATCAATTCCTTTAGAGGTGTGCTTGTTACCTTCATGCACGCTGAGGTTCTCCTCTTTTACCTCATTTTGAAAATCTTCAAGAGAGTATGTCTTGAAGACAGATTCTGGATCGGAAGAACTATTACTGAAGTATTCTATCTTCATGAACATTAAGCAATTCTGAAGCTTTGTTTTGATCTCAGGGTTAGAGATATCCTTGGTTGCAGAGTCCTGCTTAGAGAATTCCTCAAACAAAATATTTGCTTTCTTTATCGCACTTTTATGTCCCTTCTTAAGAGTCTGGGCTAAGAAAGGAGTTGGCATTGCTGAAGATGGCCTGACTGAAGAATTCATGGAGTTGATAAACTGTATTCTCTGGATAATGTCATTTATATGCTCAACTATCAGAGGAGGATGGTGGTGCTCTACAACTGCAGTGTTATGTAAGGTTGCGATAGCGTTCTTTTCCCGTTCAATTTTCCTTCTAGTCATTTCGGAGTTATTTCTTAATCTCTCCTAATATAGTAAACACCCATATTCGGAGAACAGAGATTATGTTCTGATAGTTTAGCTGATAGGAGTAGTAATCAATGAAATTTATTTCTAAAATACAATTTTTCCTATATGAGGAGATTTTTGTCTTGAAATTATGCCTTAATTTGTTAATATATTCACGGATTCTGGTAAGTCGAGATTGGATCAGGTCTTCCAGTCTCTCTTTTTCAGCCATTATTTCGGCTTTGTAACGAGTATTCAACTTATCAATTGCTTTATTTGTGAAGAATAGCAAGTTCAGATTTAGTCAAGAGTTTGAACTGCAGTTGATCCCCTCTAAATTTTTACGTCTTGAGAGCTAGTATCTGCTGAAAGAGTCTGAAGATGAGCATCTGGAGTCATTCGTATGGAATCAAGGATCTGGGACTTCTTAACATCCTTCTCAGTGCTGTATTCTTTGACTCCAGCAGAGGCGCTGAGGGCTGATGTTCTTCCTTCATTGTTGTCTACAGAAAGATATTAAAGGATACTTACTTATAAATGGAGCTAAGGCTTTGGACTCTAGCTTACTTTCTGTTTTAAGGTTGTTGGAAAGCAGGGAGAACAAGCTATCCAAGTTATTTTTGGAAGCAATACATTTATGCTTCCAATCTAGCTCATCTCCTTTCCTTCTCTTTTGAATCGCCTTGAAGGAGTCTAGAGCGGTTCTTGATGGCACAACTGAAAGGGTAGGAGAAATTAAGCTATTTTAACTTATTCTGCTTAGATTTCTTTTTACAAGTTTTATCTTTTTCCACATTGAAGTTGGAATTTTCACTTGTGAGTCCTGGGAATTTCACATCTTTCTCTTTACCAAAATTGATTTCACTACTTTCGTGGATTATCATGTGGGCTATAATCAAGTTGAAGTCTTGCACTAAACAAGGGTGTTGACTTACAGTTAAGCCTGTTGGATTTCTTATCATCCATCTTACTTGTATTGAACTTGTCGTCTCTATTTTTCAATAGTCTTGGTCTTCTTTATTCTTCTGTCATAAGAACGCTGCCTGGCGCCTGCTTGATTCAGAGAATTAGGCTGCTTGTTGAAGTTCTTCATAGTAGACCCTCTCTTGCTGGAGGATCTCTTCTCTTTGGTCTTAGGCTTATTAGACAGAGGTCGGATGTTACGGCCACCCTCGCTGACTGGAGACCTTATGTCAGACATCATGGGCAAGTAGATTATTATATTATTTCTACTCTGCAATTTAAAATTTAAACATGGGGTTTTGGGGTTTTGGGGTTTTGGGGTTTTGGGG